TCCTTCCTTCCTTCCTTCCTTCCTTCCTTCCTTTCTTCCTTTCTTTCTTTCTTTCTTTTTTTTGTTAGAGAGAGCACCATGAGTGAGGGGAGGGGCAGAGGGAGAGAGAAAATCTTAAGCAGGCTTCATGCTCAGTGTGGAGCCTGATGCGGAGCTGGATCTCACCACCCTGAGATCATGAGCTGAGCCAAAATGGAGAGTTGGTTGCTGAACCCAGTGAGCCAACCAGGCGCCCCTGTGATCAAGTGATTTCTTAAGTTCACAAACATGTTTCAGTTGTTTTTATGTGCTGTATTAGGGCTTTCCCCCCAAACATTTGGTTTCATTCATCCTAAATAGCTTTTAGGTCATACTTTTTCAGACCTTTGGTTTATATATACTTTCTTGAAAGTTCTATTATACTGTTTAACTTTTGTGATAGTATGTTATTTCCTTTGAATTTTTATTGTTTACTTCATGACAAGTTTTCTTTTCAATAATAGGAAGTTATAAAGAAAAGAATTTCTCTATGATGCTTAAAAGTCTAAGATACTCTGCACTGTTTTCAATAAGGCTTCTTTACTAATCTTACTGATCCAGTATTTTATTGCCTCTTGATTAATTAGATGGAGATGAGCGCCATTATTCTCCATTATTTTTCCTGAACTCATCTTGTTTCCAACACCAGAGGACTAATAATAAGGTCATCGAGAAAGAAATAGATCCTGAGCATCTCTCTGAGGATTATTTCGAACCAGTAGCTCCAGAATTCCAAGGAAAAGAAGCCATCAGGTAATCACACTTACAGCAACATACGGGTGCAAGGCAAACGAATTATTGACCAACAGCAACCAGGTGAGCCTGGACAAAATATTGAAGAAGAAATTTGTCTTTGTTAATGTTACTTTGAACTCTTCCATGTGTCCACCAATGTCTCCTGATTGCTCCTTGTAAGGAAAATTCTCTTTGCTTTGCTCCATATGTTACCACATCACCCTCCATCTTGTCTCCCTCCTTATTTCTGTGTTGATTCCCCTTTTCCCAGGTGCTCTTGCCTTTATAACCAATGAGCACTTCCTCTTTCCCTAGCCACCTGTTAGCTATACACATCTGAAAGTAGAGAGGAACTCATGCAGAGTTCAACCAGAATCAGTATCTTGGGGATATGTAAAAATACCTATTTTTTATTCACAACTGACTCCCTCTCACCTATAACACCCCTCCCAATTTTTCCTTCTCTGGGGGCATTTGTATGCACAACTATCCATTCCTATAACTTTAGCTCATTCATGCAACATTCCCAGGACATAGGCAGGATGTCTGCCCCAAACAAATTGCTGTCTCTGAAATCCAAAAACAACTGGCTGCTCCTAAATGGAAGTTTCTTTATTAAAATAAAGCATGAAAACCCCATTTCAGTGGGTGACCCCCTGTGCGAAGAAAGGCAGAGATAAAATACACTGTCAAATTCAACACCTTTTAAGCCTTTCTTTTTTATATTTCCTGACTCTTTGGTTAAACCCCACCACCACCACCCCCACTGCCAGCATCCTGGTTGAATAAATGTCCTTACCTTTATTTTGATTCATGCTCAGAGAAAAGAGTGGCTAAATTCTGTTTCCCTTTGAATTTGAAGATGCACTGTAATGAGCTTACATAGTCATGACATCTCTAATCTGTTGAGCCTGGTTCCTGCCTTGTCCTGCAATAGTTTCCTTTGGGATTCTAATGTGATTCATGTTGGTAATCATTCAGAGAGGTGGGGGTGTGTGTGTGTGTGTGCACATGTGTGTGAGATTCAGATGAAACCTTTAGATGTGGGAGCCTAACGCTCAGGGAAAAGGATAGGGTCAACATTAGGTTGGTGTTGAAAGCACGAGAATCAATAAGATAACCCATCAAGAGGGTCTAGAATGAGAAGACCAGAATGTACATGGAGAACCATGTGGAAGACCAAGATGATGTGTTTGGCAAAAGAAGAGGAAACAGAGAAGGGATATTTAGAAAGGAAGGAAACCAGTAAGTCGAATGTTACCTTGAATGTAGACACTTTCAACAAGGACAGCGTCACCAATAGCGACTGATCATCCCATAAGTAAGGAATAGAAAAGTCTTTGTTGCATTTGGTGATTTAGGAGGCCACCAGTGATTTCAGCATGAAGAGGTTTACTACAGTAATGGACTCAGAAGCCAGAGTGATTGAGGAGAAAGGGAGAACGTGGATATGGCAAGTTTATATTCTTATTTTGAAAAATGTTTGAAAATAAGGGGAGGAGAGAAATCTGATTGTATCCAAAGCAGAATTACAGGCCAAAGAGAAGCTATCAGAGAGGAAACTATAGAAAATGCAGGTGACCAAAAAAAAAAAAAAAAAAAGAAAGAAAGAAAATGCAGGTGACAGAGTGTCTGATTAATGAGCAAGTTTGGAGGGAATGGGAAGGGATGGGAGGTGATAGTTAAAGTGCAGATAAATGAGCTGATCTTGTACAGAGTAGAAAACACCAAATATTCTAAGGCTAGAGGAAGAAAGTGAGAACAATTCCAAAGTGTTCTGCTTCTCTAAGCAAAACACTAATCATTTAATTGTAACTTTCCAAAGAGACTTATTTTCTCTCTCAGGGGAAATGATTAATCAAAAATAAGTCTTTGTCTTTCTAGTAGACTAGTTATGCCATCCCTTATTTCACATGAAAAGGTTGATGCATCTGTCACTTTAACTGGGGTTGTTTCTGATGCCTACTATCTCCGTGTTGGCTGAGTAAACACCACTTCTGTCATTTCAGAATCAGAAATGTTAAAAAAGAATATACAGGAAAGTCTGGGAAAATGGAAGCATTGAAAGGTAAGGACAAACATTTCATTGTTTCATCGACTTCTTTATCATAAAAAATGGAGAAAATTCCATGTGAAAAATTTGTAAATGTAGATAAGCAAAACAAAAAAAAAACAATACAAAAAATCTAACTCCACCCCTTGGAGATTAACCGTGATTAAGAGCTGGCTATAAAATCCTTCTGGATGTTTCATGGCTCTATTAATTTACAAGAATGGGGTCACGCAATGAAAAGTGTGATTTCACTTTGTTTTTAAAGATGAGTTTGCTAAAAACCATATTGTATTTTATTTGCACTACGAGGAAAGAACATCTAGACTTAAAATTGATCATTTTTTATACCAGCCAGGGAATCTACATAGTTTCTATATACTGGTGAGATTAACTAAAACAAGATGAGTAACACCAGAGACCATGAATTAAATTTCACAAGTCACTATCCCTGGGGCAAACACAGTTATAATTTTGAGCCAACCAATGTATCTGATACTAAATTCTAACAAATACAGTTTTCTATAACAAACAGCTAAGTAAGCATCCAAGTTAGTGGCTACATTTCATAGATGTAGTCTCTACATTGCTTTTATTAATAATGGTTTTTAGGAAGAATGTAATTGATTTTTACAAGAAATGGAAGCCTTAAAACTTTCCAAAGAAGATCCACAGACCTGCCCTAAGGTTGTGAGTTGTCCGTCCAGTGTGTGTGCATTGCATTTATTTTCTAGCAGATAGTGTCCCTTAACTCGATCTTATTTATTCCTCTGAGATCATTTCTCACTTTGAGTGTCAGCAAATTTATTCTCACCCCAAGTTTGTCCCATCCAATGCCATCTAGATCTGTGGTTTTTCTTTCTTTAATTTTAGCCAAGGATATATGGAAGTAGTTTTTAAATTTGTCATTTCAATTTCCAGAGCGCATTATGAACTACTTTTGTACTCATCAATAACCATGAGCTACTTTTTACATCTAGACATCTTCAAAAAAAAATTTAAAAATGAAAAGTGATGTCCGTGCATGGAAAACTATATGAAATCACCAACTACAGCTGCTCTTTGGGAAGTAAATGGGGAGCTGTGCTCTCTGCACCTTCCCCCCATGCTGCTAGTTCTCGTAGCAATTCTGGAACACCTTTGGGGACACCCACTGAAGTCCTTACCTATAGCCCATCTTTCAGTGGTTAAATAGGATTCTATTGTATGGCTACCTCAGTTTCCTTACTCATGTACAAAATGTGGCTTGTTTCCAATTTTTCACTATCCTAAAAAAAACTCTGTAATGAGCCTCTTGTTCAATATTTGTAAATATTATTATTTCCTGAATATAAATTTCTAAAAGCAGATTATGCAAAGGGATTATATTTTTAAGCTGCTGCTTCATATTTCAAATCATTTCCCTTCAAGCTTATAAGAATCTATACACTTGTGGGAATAGCAATATTTAAAAACAACAACAATAATAATAGCAACAAACACTTAAAGTTTATCGAGTACTTAGTGTGTGCTGGCAACTATAATAAGTGATTAACATAAACTTTTTTTCATTTAATCCTATGAGATACATAGTATCTCTCCCATTTTGCAGGTGAAGAAACTGAGGCTTATATTTCTTTTTTTTTCTAGTTAATATGGATCAGTTCCAAGATAGATATCATCAGTTTTCTCTTACCCTGGAAAACACCATTTTTTTCCATTTAAAAACAGTAAATGTAAAATTGGTTGAGGTATTTGATTAGTTGTCCCAATATTATTTATTAATTAATTCATCTTTTTGATGAATTTAAAATTAATCTTTATTTTTTATGTTTACTTTGCACCATCTTAGGCTTCTTTTGTCTTCCATCAGTCAGTGTATCCTGGAGTAGTAATATTATTTTAATTATAATATTTTACTCCACTGGTTACTGTATTACTAACATATTATTTTAATTATTATAGTTCTCCAACTTTTTTTTAAGATTTTATTTATTAGAGAGAGAGAGAGTGAGTGAGCGAGAAGGGGGTCAGAGGCAGAGGGAGAAGCAGACTGCCCGTTGAGCAGTGAGCCCAACACGGGGTTTGATCCCAAGACCCTGGGATCATGACCTGGGCCAAAGGCAGAGGCCCAACCAACTGAGCTACCCAGGCTCCCCCATTCTCCAATATATTTTAATACAATGTAGTCAAGACTAATATCTTGCTATTATTTAACTTTTCTTAATTATTTGAGCTTATTTTTCCAATTTTTTAAGAATCTTTTAGTCAAATTATAAGTGAGAATTTTAATGGATTGGATTATAATAGGAAGAATTTTCTCTTTAGATGTAATTACTATTACCAGCACATTTAATAGCTGAGTAAAGTGAATCTTGTAGTGTTTAGTTTATCCAAGATCATCCAGATAGAAGATGGATGAACTGGAATTCATCCCAGTTGTTAATTAATTTCAATAATGTTTGAAAGTAGGACATGTAATTTAATTGAAGGAACCTGATCTCTTAGATATAACATATTATAAAATTCTTAAGAATTTCCTCCAACAACTTTTCATAACAGAGTTTGGTTTTCACTTGGTAGTAAAGAAAACAAACAAAAAATAGTAAAGAATTCTTAGATAAATGATTTTTTTCTACTGACCTGTAAATGCAAAAGGTTTGTAATAAAAGAATAGAAAATTTATAATGGGAAAATATACATTTTTGGTGAATATATTTTAAAAGGTAATTAATGCCATGAAAAATGTTTATCATTTAACATTTGAAAATGTAAGCTAGAAAAGAATGGAGTATGATAAAAATCCATATAGATATATATATTTACATGTTCATATATGCACATGCATATACACTGGAAGTAAATGTATTACAATGTTAATATTTGAAATTATAGTTAAGTTTTTCTTAAGTGGTTGTATTTATTTCACAAATATTCTACAGTAACCATGTTATTTTAGCAGCCAGGAAAATATTGGATATTATACGTTTTAAACTATTTAAATGCTTGAGAATATACAACTAAAATAAATTTTTTGTTCTACTTTTAGAACCAGCATTTTCTAACGCCCTCTTATTTATAATGTTAATATTTTACTTTAAAAACAGACTTGCTCCTTGACATATATGAAGGTCAAATCACAGCAATTCTGGGTCATAGTGGAGCTGGCAAATCTTCATTGCTAAACATCCTTAATGGGTTGTCTGTTCCAACAGAAGGTGAGCAAAAAGAAATTTCTCAAAGGCAAGATGTCCAGAGGTCATATGTTGCCTTTCTTATTTTAAGGTTAAATTGCCTAAGAGAAAATGACATTTCTTTATCTAACATTGTTTACCAGACTATAGGATTTTGAATATACTTTATATTTCCCAAGTTTTTATGAAAATCATTAGCCTTATTTCATTGCTATGTGATATTCCAGAGAAAATATATACCACCCGGAACATATATTTATGTTAAGATTAATTTGTAGTTGTTAACAAATTGTGAAGTCATTATTTTAGATATTTGTGAATATATGTCAATATTTTCCTGAATAGGATCTCGAAGCATTAATAAAATGTATTATCTTGCCAATGTTAAATTATTTTTAACTTCTATTTTTAGGATCAGTTACCATCTATAATAAAAATCTCTCTGAAATGCAAGACTTGGAGGAAATCAGAAAGATAACTGGTGTTTGTCCTCAATTCAATGTTCAATTTGACATACTCACTGTGAAGGAAAACCTCAGGCTGTTTGCTAAAATAAAAGGGATTCAGCCAAAGGAAGTAGAACAAGAGGTAAATGGGCATGCTTGGATTAGCAAGTTAAGTTTGCCAAGTTAGAATTTGCCTTAGTGATTTACCTGCCCTGTTATGAATACAATTTAGGCAGTGAGGTCCTATAAAAAAGATCTGCTGTAACAGACAGTTCAAATTGTATAGCATACATTGTCTTGGATTTTAAGTTTTGTGTGTTTTCTTGCATAGGTACAAAGAATTTTGTTAGAATTGGACATAGAAAACATTCAGGATAACCTTGCTAAACATTTAAGTGAAGGACAGAAAAGAAAGCTGACCTTTGGGATTGCCATTTTAGGAGATCCTCAGGTAAGTGAGATTCTGCATGCCGTGGAAAGCAGATTTAGTAAAAAGTCAAGCTCTTCTTTTACCACTAAAAGTAGTAGAGATCTCATTGTAATGTATCAAGAGAGACTCTGCTATTAAACTATGGGTATAAGTATATTGGACCTAAATGGTTGGATAGTTATTATTTGGTTTATTATTGTTATCCATGCTACCATGTGAGAAGAGTTAATGTGGGAGAGATATATTTTAAACATTATCATCCTCTGTAGATTTTGCTATTAGATGAACCGACTGCTGGGTTGGATCCCTTTTCAAGGTATCGAGTTTGGAGTTTCCTCAAGGAACACAAAGCAGGCCATGTGATCCTCTTGAGTACCAATCTCATGGATGAGGCTGATGTCCTGGCTGGTAATTGTTCATTTTATCTCAGTTTTATGATAAAGAATTTGGGAAATGTGTATTTCTAGGACAAGCACCGTGCTCCCATGACCTTCATGTGTGCTCCATTCCATAGCAGTCCAGGGAATGACAAGTCTAACCCCCTCTAGAATTCCTCACTGACTGTGCATTTGCTAGATTGTAACCTCTAATAAAAAATTGTAAGGTTTTTTTCAGCTTTCAGTTAATTTAAACATTGTAATCAATATATATCTGGTTGAAAACTATCCACTTATTCTTTAGCATACGGAGTGGAAAATGTGGCAATGTAATTTCTGGGTTTGTTTGTTTGTTTGTTTGTTTTTTCAAGAATTATTGGAGGGCACAAAAATAGACTGGAACTCATTAAGTTCATTTTAAATGCATCAACTTTAATGTGTATTTCAAATTTTTAAATGTATGTTAGATACATTTATTTCCTGTAGAGCACTTCTCCTTTGGAAATCTGAGCATTGGCTCCTCACCTATGTTTTCTAGAGAGGGAAGAAATGACTCCCATCATCCTTTCTTTCTTGCTTCTTTTTAATCAGATAGAAAAGTGATCATGTCCAGTGGGAGACTGAAGTGTGCAGGGTCTTCTGTCTTTTTGAAGAGAAAATGGGGTCTTGGATATCACTTAAGGTAAAGACTTTGGGGATAGATTGGATATATACATATATATATGTACACACATATACATAGATATATGCTTTCTTTTTTTAAAAGATTTTATTTGTTTATTTGAGAGAGAGAAAAAAAGTGCACGAGCAGGGTTGGGGGCAAGGAGGATCAGAGGAAGAGGGAGAAGCAGGCTCCCACTGATCAGGGAGCTGGATGTGGGGTTCCTGGATCCCAGGACCCCAGGATCACAACCTAAGCAGAAGGCAGATGTTTAACCAACTGAGGCACCCAGGCACCCCATATAAATGTTTTCAATACTGGTATATCAAAAAGGCAGACAATTATGAGGGACAGTTGGCCTTATGCTTCATCTTTGCCAAACTATTGGCTAGTGTTTCCCAAATGTTTTTCCTGCCTCCTTGTATCTTTATTAATGCTAATGATAAGCAGAATCAACAGGGCTACTTCATGGACCACTTTCCAGGTAGCTACTCTGTGTATCCTAAATCTCTCTCTTCTTCCCACCCCCCATTTCCCTCAGCTGATCCATACAATCCTGTAACATATTTTCATTCTTTCACTGGGCACAAAATCAAATAATTTCAGAAGCTAGTATCAAAAGTGGGAGAGAGTTAAGAGCACCCTATCTAACAAAGTGTGTCCAGGTGAAAAGAATTTTATAAAACCCAAACCAAAAACTCTGTAGCCAAACAAAACATGCATGTAAGCCAAACTGCCCTATTAGCCATTAATTCCTGATAGCTACACAATCTGGTGTAATTATTTTCCCTAAGCAATTTCTTCTGCCTGATGTTCATGCCTTGCTCTGTTTATCTTCCTACTTGAAATATAGTTTCACTTATGGCATGTATTTGTTTTTATATTTTTAATTGTTCTGAATTTAAACACCTCCTCTGTAGAGATCATAGGATTTTTCAAACTGATGGCATTATTATTATTATTACTTCTGTTGTTGTTTACTCATTTCGTTTGTTCTCTAAAGCCAAGTAAAGTAGTACTCAAAGGCTAGGTATTCAGTAAAAGCCCTTCTTTTGTGATAGCAGTAGAGAAAATACAAATCAATGACCTTTTCTTTTAAATATTAGTTTGTACAGAAATGAAGTATGTGATCCAGAAAAAATAACATCCTTCATTAATCATTACATCCCTGATGCTAAATTAAAAACAGAAAACAAAGAAAAGCTTGTGTATACTTTGCCCATGGAAAGGACAAATAAATTTCCAGGTAACTTAAATATGATTACAATGGAATGAAATTTGGGAACAGGTGTTCATCACATTATTACAGCTTTCATTATTTAATGGATTTGAATTTTGTATTAGGTTGGGTTCCCTAAAAAGCAGAACTTGAAATGAGGACTTTAGCGCGCTTTGGTAATTGATGCCTAGAAACACCAGGAGGGAATGGGGCCATGAGAGTGGGAAGCGAAGGAGGCTAGGGGAGTTTGCATTATTGAGCAGGTGGTTGCAATACGAAATTGAGATGTAATACCATTGGAATAAATAAGTGAATAAGTGAGCAAGGGGCTCAGAGTTATGTCACAAGAGGGGTGAGAAAGCTGGGGTATTTATTTGCCACTCCCTACCCTTCATTGTTTAAGAGATGCTTTTAGGAGCATTAATTTTCTAACCCATATGACTTGTGCTCAACACGAGCTTAGCATACTTCACAGCCCAGAACAAAATGCCTTCAGGCAGGTGTTAATAAACAGATTTACTGTGTATGAGTGAGTACAGAAGGGATGGGGATAGCATCAAGTTGTCTGCTATAGGTTCCCTTTTATATTTTAATTTAATTGTGTATATATTTATTTTGCAGAAAAAAAAAACATAGTTTATTTATTCTACAAAAGTATTCACCATAGGTCCCCAGTCTGCCGAGTAGCATTCCCAACCTAGGATTTGTTGGATAAGTAATTCTAATAATAGCTAACCCTTAGTACAATGTTTATTATGAATCAGGCACTGTTCCTAATAGTTTCATTTATATCAACTCATTTAGTCCTACAACTATTCTATGAAGTAGGTGCTATAGTCTTCCCTGTCTTGCAAATGAGGAAATATATCTGTCTTTTTTAATTTAAAAAGCTTCCTTTTTATCTAAATATTTAGTTTATTAAAGGTTTAACTCTCTGCAGGCCTGATTTAAAGAGGCTCATTTGGATGATTCTTTTTTTTTAAGATTTCATTTATTTATTTGACAGAAAGAGACACAGCTAGAGAGGGAACACAAGCAGGGGGGAGCTGGAGAGGGAGGAGCAGGCTCCCCACTGAGCCTGACGTGGGCCTCAATCCCAGGATTCTGGGATCATGACCTGAGCCAAAGGCAGATGCTTAACAACTGAGCCACCCAGGCGCCCCAAGGATGATTCAGTCTTATTAAGCAAATACTCAGGAATTCAGATTTAGTCTCACCCCCAAATAAGGCAGCTCTCTGTGTCCTCGTAGGAGCTGCAAGATGGTGTTCTCAAGTCCATAGGCTATACTGTGTTATTCTGTCCAATGAGATACAACTAGCCTTCTTTTTTTGGTTAGGGAAGGAGAATAGTGAGTTATATGCTCATAGTACTATGAGAACATGTCACACCAGAGTCCCTGGTGTTGATGTTTTGGTCCATGGCAGCCTCTTTATGCTGACCATAAGCCTCTGCAAGTCCAATGGCATTCTTATGTCCTGTAGGAAATATGGAAGATAATAATAAATGTTTATTGGGAACCTATTATGTAAAAGGCACTGCTTGAGACACTAGTGATACAGAGTTAAATAAAACATCTGAGTCCCTACCCTCATGGAGGGTGCATTCCATTGGGTGGGGAGAAGTGGACACACACAATAAGCCAAGGTATATTACAATTGCAATAATAAACAAGGTGATAGGGTTTAGAGAGAAACTAATGTCAGGTTGGGGTTTATATAGAGTGCCAGAAGTACAAAAGAAGAAAACAATCAAAGGCATTCCAAGCAGAGGGGGGAAAGAGATGTCTGGAGTGCAGTGAGTGTGGGAGGAGATTGGCAAGTGGGGGTGGGTAAGGTTGTAGGGATAGATAGAGGTCCACCCATACGGAGCTTTAGAAGCTGTCATGTGGTGTTTGAATTTTATCTTAAATGCACTGAGAAACCACTGAAAGTCATTAAATGGGGGATTGATGTGATGTGACTTATATTTTCATTCTCTGGCTATAAAAGAGCACTCTGGGTACAGAAGAAGAGTAGACGCTGGGAGACCAGCCATGTGACCATTTCAGACTTACGGGTGAAAGATGATGATCATTATGCTACCATGGTGCCAAGTGAAAGGTGGATGAAAATGGCTGGATTTGAAGCATATCTTGAGATAAAGCCAAAGAACCTGACTGTTGTCCAATCTGTGGAGCACGAGGAGAAGTGAAAAATCCAGAGGGACTTCTAGAATTTTGGCTTGAATCACCTGGTGGAAGATGGTGTCATTTGTTATAAAATGATGAGAGAGACAGTTGGGTAGGATGGAGAAGAAGGAATTAATGTTCTGTTTTAGAAATACTTGCTTTGAGATGCTTTTAGACTTCAAAGTGGAGATGTCAAGCGGCTAAGTATACAGTTGGTTATAGGATACTGGAAATCAGAGAACACTCAAAGTGAGAATTGAACTTGGGAATCATTTGCGTAGGGATGGATTTAATGCAAAGGGATTGGATTTGAGTGTAGGGAAAGAGAAGGTGATCCAGGACGGAGCCCTCAGGAGAAAGTAGAGGAAGAGTCAGAGAATGGTGGAAATCAAGAGCCCCCCATGAACTTGAAGGAAAAACAAAAGAACATATATGTTTTTATTAACTCAAGGGAGACAATGTTTGTAGAAGGACAAAGTAGTCAACAGTTTTCAATGTCCCTGAATGAGAGAGAGAGAGAGTTAAAAGAATTTTAAAAAAGCTCTTGTCCATTGAATTTAAAATGTGGAATCATTGATGACCTTGTAAGAACAATTTCTGTGGAGGGATAGGGATAGCATTTGGATTTGTGGGGGTTCAGTTAAATAGGATACCACAAATTAAAGGTGGTAAAGTAGACAAATCTTTGAGCCCTGGGTGCATGTGTGTAGCAGTGGGCTAGTGGTAGGAGGAGATTGGGTTTTTGTTGTTGTTGTTACTTGTTTTTGTTTAATGGGTTAACTTACAGCATTTTGCCTGCTGTTTGGGATGGCCCAGTACATGTAGGAGAAATTGATGATACAAGCCAGAGAAGGGCAGGAGATTACTTTAGGAAGTTCTCGAGATGCCTGAATGGGATAGAATTCAGAACACAAATCAAAGAGGTAGCCTTTGGTGGGAGCAGCTCTAAGTCTTCCACCTGTACAGAACCAAGACCCAGAATATGGGTAGAAATAAACGTTCATTTGTGTGGGGGTGAGAAGATGATGTTCTTTCTTTTTTTTTTTAAGATTTTATTTATTTGACAGAGAGAGACACAGCGAGAGAGGGAACACAAGCAGGGGGAGTGGGAGAGGGAGAAGCAGG